CCTCTCCGTCTGTGTCCACAGACACTCTCGTCTTTCCTCTCATTCCTCCCTCTTCCTGCTCCGCGGCGCTCTCTCCCCCTCTCTCCCCCTCACTCCTTCACTCCTTCACTCCTTTCTCTCCCCTCGTGCCCGTCCTCCTCGTCCGTTCTGCTTCTGTCCCGTCAGTAGAGATTGGATCTGTCAGAACCCAGGTAAGACCGGATTTCTTCTTCTCCTTCTTCTTCTTCTTCTTCTTTTTTCCTGGAGAATCGTTCAGTTTGCTGTGCAGAGATGGAGCAGAGATCCACGCGGTCTCTCCACTGGATTTGTCCGTTTGTCATCCTGTCACAAGTTGCTGCTTTGATACAATTTGCATATGAATCTGTGGCTCGTGACAACGACAACTTCACTCAGAAGTCTGTCCCCGATGATGTGTGGTTGATCAAAGCTGCTGCTGAGAAGCCAGAGGGTCTGTCCTCCCAGAACCAGGGAGGAGAACCCTGACGGAGAACCCTGACGGAGAACCCTGATGGAGAACAATTTATGGAGTGTCTCTGTGTCTCTGTGTGTGTGTGTGGTGCAACAATCTCAGGGTAGAGCACAGAATCCCCCCCCCCCCCACAGCTCTGAACATTATTGTGCAACATTAACATTATTCTGACTAATTAGCAGCAGTTGTAAAATCCTTTGTTTGGGAAATGAAATCTAATGCACTGGAAACTGTGAAAATAATGAGCTTTCGTTCAGTGGTGTGTGTGTGTGTGTGTGTGTGAGTGTGTGTGCTGCAGCAGCGCAGGGTCACCAACCAGGTCGTCTTCTAACTGATGACATTTATAGCCCTGATGGAAACGAACCCCTTTGAAACCACATCAGTGAAACGTCAAATTAGTTTGAGTTGGGGTCAACAGTGATGTCACGTCACCTGGTGATGTCACCTGGTGATGTCACCTGGTGATGTCACATCGGTAATTCAGCAGGGCTGCACATTCCTGTCACTTCGACGGAGTCTCACCGTGGAGTCGTCACCTGTGGGAGTCCTGTGAGCAGCGCTGGCTCTAATGATGGATGTGGACATTATTGGTCGACTGAAAGGTGGTTGTTGCTGATAAGGAATCACTGAAGTCCATCTTAGGCAAATGTTTCATCACAGACTGAGGCCCTGGGGCCGCCACAGTCTGCGGCGGAGGATTATTCATCACGCTGATGAATTTAAACGGCTAAGAGCAAAGTTGTAAATCAGTGATGTTTCCTTCATGACTGAGTTGCTGTGTTTTTTTGGTCTGTGATCAGAGAAGTGTGTCTGTGATGTGAACAGACGTCGGCAGTTTAGACCAGTTTTTACAGGTGATTCCAAACACGCTGCACATTTTAGCTTCAACATTGGCCTGTACGCAACACTAAAGCTCTTAGTATAAAACAGTGTTTGAATGTTAGCTGGAGAATTAGCGCCACCTCAGCTCCTTGTCTGACGCCTTCGCTGTCATTAACCCAGCGCTCAGCCAGAACCCTGGGAAAATATCTGCGTTTGTGAGGAAATTAGAGTCAGAGAAATGGGTGAAGACGCGGGCTCTTCAGTCCACGGAGGGTTCCTGGCTGACAGCTACACTCTGTCTTTTTTCTCTGGCTGGTTGTGAGCTGCCCCAGGTGTGACAGGCAGCCAGAGTAATGGAGGATGTTTGACAGATGCATATTTCCAGCCTTGAATGCTTCATATAAAAAAGATAGACGGCATGGATTCAGGCCGAGCGGGGGACAAACTGTTGGGCTGTGAATCACTCCAATGAGTGTGCCACCGCTCCGTCATGTGACTCTTACGTCGCCTCCAAGTTGCTAATTGCATCCCACCCTGATTAAAATGTGAAGGGCGTGTTGGTGTAGGTCTGGAGCGTCTGGAGGCAGACGGTGCTCACCACCCAAGTCAATGATCAGGTGACAAGCCACGCAAACATCAACACTTGGGTTCAGTTCTAGATTCTTCAACTCCAATTTGAACTCTTTTCTAAGAAACTCAAAATAAATTAAAGAGGAAAAAACGTGCCGCCAAATAATAAGGAGGAAATTTATTGATGAAGATAAAAAACAAATCTGAAGTCAAATCAACACAAGAAGCACAAACGAAGGCGGGAATAACGTGCACAGAACAAGGTGCAAATAAGATGCAGTGTAAATATATGATCCAAATGTTTTCATCAAATGAAGCAGACAGAGTCATAAAGACGTAAACTTATCTGGACTAAGTTGCGACTAAGACTAAATCAAAGCCGGCTCCTTAGAACTGTTGAAAATGAAAACTAAATGAAGCACGACTTCAATATGAACGCTGGGTTTTATCCCTGACGCCTTTATGAGGTATTTGTACCAATATTGGATTTGTGACGATTACGCCTTTATTGGTCTGTCAGGGCTCATAACCAGGAGTCAAGACCATGTGACCACATCGGTTCCTACAGTAGATTACAGTGTGTCTGGGCAAACAGACCAGAGAGATGGACTGTGGGATTGTCCCCTGTTGTCTAGCTCCTGATTTAAAGGAGCAGCTCCACCTGGTTCCTCAGACCAACACTAACAACGTTTCTGACTCCGTTTCAGTCATCTAGGACGCCACTGTTTCTGACTCCGTTTCAGTCATCTAGAATGTATAATATTGAACCAATTAAACCCATAATTCTTCTGCAGTCAGAACAGCTCCTTCAGATATGTTTAACTGACGTTTCTAACAGACTAGAGATCGGAATCCCACGGTTTCAGCTTCATCGGCGGTCGCAGTCATGGCTGAAAGTCACGCTTTTTCCAAAGAAAGATTGGAAATGGAATTTATACCACCGAGTCTGAGACCCCCGAGTCTGAGACCCCCAGTCTGAGACCACCGAGTCTGAGACCCCCAGTCTGAGACCCTCAGTCTGAGACCCCCAGTCTGAGACCCCCAGTCTGAGACCACCGAGTCTGAGACCCCCAGTCTGAGACCCTCAGTCTGAGACCCCCAGTCTGAGACCCCCGAGTCTGAGACCACCCTGTTCCCAAACACCAGGTTGTTTTTGTTATTTGTGTTCACTTTTTTTGGTTTGCAAAAAAAAGAAGTAAAAAAAAGTTCTATCCGTTGTATCTAAACACCAGGTTGTTTTTGTTATTTGTGTTCACTTTTTTTGGTTTGCAAAAAAAAGAAGTAAAAAAAAGTTCTAGGAACGGGGTTTGTTCCATCATTGAACTACTTCCTGTTACGACAGCAGAACGTGAAACTAGTCCTCGCCTTTTTTATGAATTCAACTTTGATAGAAAACCAGTGAACACGACCACAACATACATTTAAGAAGTAAAACGAAGGAGTACTAATTAACAGCGTGTTGAGCAGATGACTGAACTCTAAGATGAGACTTTGGTCTTAACGTTCCTGTCCACTGTGGTAACTGTGACTTTATCTCCTAATTATTTGTGATTCGTTGTTGGAGGTTCTTTTTACTTCTGTTCAGCTTTTGGCTGTGACTGACCTAGAGTTAGAGTTTCATAGAGAACCAGATAATAACTACATCGTTGACATTTATCCTAACAGAGGAATGAAGCAAACAAATGCTGCCATCTGTAAAGTTGTAAAAGTCCAAACTTTCTCAGTGTATTTTCCAGGGGCAGATATTTCTTCAGGGTGACGGCTTTTCATTACCATTAATTTTTACACTGCTGTTCCAGTGAAACAATAGCGTTCTTGTTCCGCCGCGTTTCGTACCACGCACTGTGTCATTAACTCGATCACATCGATTTCTAGCGGCTGACATTTTTTGAAGTACATTTCCTGCGTTGTGTAGGAGTTTTGTTTGTCTTTAAAGGCTGATGGAACTTCACATACGTCGCCTTAAAGACGCACGTCTGGAACAGTAGCACGAGTGGTCAAACCTGGGAACAGATTCAGGTGGTGTTCAGTTAGCTAGAATAACTTTAAAGTTACCTAAAAATATAACTTAATAACTTTTTTGTTTTTTCCTCCTTTTTCAGTTTAATTACATTTTTAAGGCAGCAGCAGAACCTGCTTCACAGCGTTTCTTTTTATAACTGTATTTGTCCCAGCCTCAGCTGACACACTGGTGGACACTTCCTGTGTGTTTGTCCCTGCACCTTTATCTCCTCTGCTTTAATTCATCAGGAAAAGGAAATATCAGCATCTGTTCTAGAACCATCCAAATATTTCCATTTCCCAAAAGTCCAGTCACCGTCGGACCTTTTGTCTCTCCGTGTGTTCACAACCAGTCACAGTGTTTATCAGAAAAACTTAAACTATGTTTGATTTTAGAAATCATCTTTAGAAATCAGAGAACCTGAGAATCAAGGACAGAAATCGTGTTTATTTATCCAAAGCTTGTTGTGCATCCAAAAACAGACCCTTTGGAAACAGTCGACCTAATAAGGTTAGAAGAAACATTTCACTAACTCTGAGCAAAATCAAACCGTTCACAGAATCTGGAAATGTTTCGAAAGAAATCGTCCTGTGTCTTTGATCTAATGACCTCTGCTGTCATTGGTCAGTTAGGCGTCATATTGACATCAGTTAAAGGTCAAATCACTCACCATGATTGATTGAACATTTAGTTCTTATTTCTTTTCAGTCCCCCCCCACTCTGATATCGTGGTTAAAGACAGTGATTTATTCCGTCTCTACTTGATTCTGATGTGGGCTGGAACCCACAGCCCATTATCTGGACATCAGACTCATTATGCTAGACTGGGCTGCTACTGCTGCTGCTGCTGCTGCTGCTGCTACTGCTGCTGCTGCTGCTGTTACTGCTGCTGCTGC